TCTGAAATTGATTAGCCAACCTAACAACAGATATATTTTATTTCATGCTAAGTAACATGCGAGGGCTCGTTCACACCATAGAGTTGCGCTACATGCACACTATCAGACAACGCACCTAGAGTGCAGTACTGTGCGCTAGGTGCATTGTAGTTCATTTGAATGGAACCCTAATGTACCTCCCACCAGTCATGCATTGCAATAATGCATGCATTGCACCCGCTGGGAGGTGCATTGGAGTGCCATTCAAATGAATGCCATTGCAACACACATAGCGCACCATACTACACGTTGGGTACGTTGTGCGATAGCATGCGCTAAACGTATGGATACTGTGAAAAAGATTTATCAAATCTGGAGCAACCAATCAGCTTCTGTTTTAAAAAAAAAAAAAATCTTAACTGAACAAACTGAAGAGCGAAGCTGATTGGTTGCCATTGGCAACTGCTGGTTTTGATAAATTCCCCCCAGTATGTTTAGCACAATGCTATGGTGTGAACGGGCCCTAAGTGTAACACTTATTGAAGTGTTTGAACAGGCTACTCGTGATCCACTAAACCCTAGAAAATAAAACTACAGTTAAATAATTCTTATATAATCCCTAATACACATTAAAAATAAAAATAAATAGTAAGGGTGGGATAAAAAGTATTTAATTCTTAAGATCACAGTAATCCACCTGACAATGCCGTCAGGGTGAAAGTGGCTGTCAGGTAGACTGTACAGGGGCCTCCTAATTTCCAATGGCAGCCCTGTGTGCAAGTATGCACATTCTAGTGAAAGCACAGTTCTGTTTTAAATAAATTTTGGATAACTTATTAAAAAGGTACATTTTGTTACAGAGTACTATATCAAGCATAAAACATAAATTAAAGAGTGTTAGGATTCTAAAAATACAGAAAACCAGCAACACTGCTTATTGGTGCTAGCTATTATCAATGGATTTTTACATCAACAATTAGTGGAATGTTTTCCAATCATGCATAAAGAATTAGAGTCTGCATAAATTATACAGCACGTAAACTAACTTTTAAATGAACCAACATAATCCACTGTTGACTGTGCTGATAGTGCATATGGAAATGCAATTGGGTTTATTTGGATTTGCATTTCAAAATTTCCAGCAGTTTTCTGCAGAAACTTCATTGAGATACTTTGCACGGTCTGGTTCCTTGTGGAAAAAAAAAATTCCAGGAAGGCAGGCTTGCCAACTTTACAAATGCAGCCATAGCGACAGTGTGTTGCTGAGCTCCTGGGCAAAACAGAGCAGGATATTTAAGAAGGACTTTCACCAGCCTCCAGCCATGTATCCAAACCCCTAGAAGGCTGCAGAAAATACATAGACCGCTCTCCAAGTAGTTATGGATGGTGTTTTTACCTAGAATTAACATGCATTCCATTCAAAGCCACACAGACATTTAAAATAGGCCTATTTGAGACAGTTTCACAGGCAGAATACAAAGATTATCCTGAGATATTGCCAGCAATAAGCACTGTGGTGAGACAACATTTTACTAAAACATTATATTTCGTCTTAATTCTTTTTTACAATACGCATATGTATGACATTGACGATGTAATATCACCAATGTAGGTTAGTCTTTTAAATATAGGGTTGCATTATACACAAGGCAGCCATATTTACTCATTACATATGTAGGCTCGGCTTCCTGCTTTATATTCTGCACAATGGTTGTGCTTTACTGCGTCTTCTCAAAATGCAAGTCTACGAGTTGGAAGATCCACTGAAAACTATGTGCTAAGTGGCTGATGTGTAAACACAACGGTTATAAAGCAGGCCAAATCACTGCAGTTATAAAAGTGAAGAGGGATGTGTGTGGGGGTGCAAGTTTTTTTTTATGCTAGGATATGGGCACATTTATGTAATGTTAAACGCACATGAGAGCAGTGCAAGGGAGAAATGCATGAAGCAAAATGTAACATTTTACGCGTTATTATGGTGGACCGCATGTAAAATATTCAATGTAATTCATATCTACTTTTATTGCTGGCATCTGAAAGTGTATATCATCACTTTCTTCCAGCAGGTGACGATGCTGCAGCATCCTTCCCAATATCTGTGTTGTCACCATTGAGGTTCTGATGAAAGGGGCATGCCCTGGAGACACAAACTGCTGCAGCCTCGCCGACGTCCGTGTCACAAAAATCGAGGTCTGCGTCCGTTAGCCTGGACTGTGTGAAGCCATGACTATTCTTTCTAGAGAATTATACAAAGCTTCATGTATCACTACAATTGTGAGTAGCCGGAGATTGGTTTTAAATTTAATAAACTGATATCGCACAAGGCTTGGGCGTTCATCTTTTGTTTTTTGTCACCATTTGCATCTGTGCTGGTTGAAACTACAGCATGATGTGGTAATGCTAAAGGGGCAAGAGATTTTAGTAAAGCTTAGCCACAAATTGGTATACCATGCTTAAACCTCATCCTAATCCCACCCAGATACACCTGCTGGCATACCCCATTATATAAAAATGCAGACGGATGAAAAATGGTAATTATTCAACAGTTATACTATAGCGCCAACCGAATGCACATTGCTTCACAAAATAAAAAGGAGACAGTACGGTTACAATACCATTCAATGCAAGAGGGTTAGTAGCGTCCTGGTCATAAGAGCTTATAATCAAAAGCAGAGGAGTAATGTGAAATGTAGTTTTGCCATGGCTGATTTTTAAAAGGAAGAGCTGGATAATCCCAACCACCATTCACTTCAGATGTGGGTAGAGAGAACACGGATCTGTCTCTGCGGATTCATTTTTAATAATTACACCGTTATTCAATGTTTCAGGCATCAGATTTAGTGTATTTACAAAGCTGAGAGGTTGCAAGGTTGCTAGACTAGGAAGACTACAAGGTTTTAGTTATACTTTCATATTACAATCACAACATTCAGATAAAATGTTTATTTCCCCTCATCTTGTCCTTGTTTCATCACTTTCAGTCTCCCCAGCCCTCTGCCACTGAGACAGGAAGTGAAATATAACCAGCGGTGTCAGAAACAGCAACTAAACCGAGATTCTAACACTTTCCCATCTATGTATGCAGTCAAATAAATTATACAGACCTACCTGGCAATAGCCCACACTGCTATTATGGTGGCCATAAGCCACTAAAACATTGTGTAGAGTTGGCTGTAAACAATGGCTTGCATCTTTACGGAACTTCACATTATCAGGAAATGTTCTGTTCAAATCTGGAAGAAAAGACATTAAAATGGCATTTTGCTTGAGCGCACCATTTCCAAAAGGTCACAAAAAGTTGTTAGAGCTTTTATGGGAGGTTAAACAAAACCTCCCATATGAAGATCTTTGCGGTGTACAAGACACCCCCTACAGTCCCTTTATTTACCATTTACCACTCCAGTTCACCATTTAAACCACAGAGCAGCCTGGGGAAAACCAGGTAATTCTGAGTATGGGGACAGCTGCATATTTCTCCTACCCATTTACAATACAGTACTTTGCTATATTACACCTGGGTGCATATGTAATATATGGTACAGTAACAGTATGTAACCGCTAATAATAGCAGGCAATGAACAACAGCAATTCTAAAAACAAAAAGAAGATTTGTATTTCTTGTGCACCCCTGAATAGGCAGGCATCCATATCTCTCTCTCTGCACACACACACATACATGCATATAGAAATACTCGCAGACAAACAGGTGAAATGTAATCTGGGACGATTCTACGTCAGTAGTTGTCAGGAAAATAATGTGGCAACATCCTAAATGAATAGAGCTTCCCTGGAATTCACCTATTCAGACAGATTACTATAGGGCTCCATTCACATATAGCGTTTGCGTTTCCCAACGCTACACAGCAGGGAAAGCCTTCCCGCCGTGTAACCTGTCATGGACGGAGCGCTGCCTGTTATTACAGGCAGCGCAGCATCCAGCTTTTGAAAGGTAGTTAGGTTACACAGCAGCAGGCTTTCCCACTTCTTGTGTAACTTAACTTGGTGAGGCAAGAGCTGTCATAGTCTCTACTCGTTGAAGGAGGTGTGAGCTCTGTGGATGGCTTGGACTAATGGCAAAGCGCCATTGGTCCAAGCTGTCCAATCAAAAAAAACAAAAAAACAAAAACAGTGAGGACTTCTATCTTGATGCCTCACCAGTGACGAGCAAATGAGGGACAGGGAGGTTCCTCCCGGTCTCCTCCCCACACAGCTTGGTTTCCGAACTGGGGGCAGTGCTTCGGTGGTACGGGGTGGAGCTTCGGCTGGACGGGGCGGAACTTGAGCAGGCTGGGGGATGCCTCACAGAAGGCACGTCACTGGTAGGTTGGCAAGTTCCAACATACTTCAACCAATCCGTAGGTTGGTAAGTTCCAACAATATTTTTATTTTCCTTTTCTAAAAATATACATTTTAAAATTAAAAGAATAGAATTACAAAATAAAAATGAATTAAAAAAACAAACATTTTTATATACTCTTTAGAAAAAGAAATGTTTGAATTAATGCAGAATTCAGACTTTATGTTCTTCAATTTACCTTATTCTGGCATATATAGTAAATGTAGCTCAAGTTTGAAAAACTCAAAGCCAAATAAAAAGAAACATTGGGGTACATGCATTAGACTGGAGAAATGAATATCACAAGATTGGTTGCAGGTTCTCTGTTAGCAAAAATTATGACTGGTCAGTATGTAACCAATAGTCAGTAACCATTATTTTCTATTTTGTTTCCAGTTTTAACAAATCCAATACCGCTATGAGTGATATATATGGTTAAAATTGGTGAAAGGCCACAGATGCATTTTACAGAACAGCTTTAAAAAAAATATTAAAGATCTTATTTTGTCACTGGCAATCAATACTAAAGCTTGGAAAAAGGAGACAGAACACAGTCATCATGACGTTACCTGTGACAACAGCATCCACAAGCTTTGCATTCTTCTTTCCCTCCACTAATACATTATGATAGTATCCTGGGTTCTTCTCCATTCGGGCCTGTGCTCCACTCACTAACATCCACACGTGGCAGCGATGTTCATTAGGAATGCCTTTCCTAATATATCTCTTTACTGAAACAGCAAGGCAAGACTTTAAGGGGCTTTTCTGCAAATCACTGGTAATAAAGCAAGATAAATGTCACAGGTATTAGTGATCCCTGCTGATCTTCTGTATATGTAATATGTATACAGAGCTCATCTTCAGAGGTAGCTCATAAGCCAAATGAAAAAAAACAGATCTTTATCTTTCGGTGTCTTTCTTGTATCCTCTGGGGCATACAATCCCATTTCTAAATTTATAATCCACAGATTCTGATCTAAAACAGAATACTTTCTGATTGTCTAAAAATTTTTGCTCAATATCCATATTAAATTCCAGGTAGCAAATGCACCTAGTAAATGACAGCTGGTGTCAAACCATTTAAATAACCCTTCCTATTGTTGTCAATTAAAAATATGTTCCCTAGCTTGCAATGCAGCTCATAATCTAGTTCTGCACAGTTCTAGTTCTGGTTCTGAACATCAAGTGGATTTGCACAATTGTTGTATATCTATAAAGAGCCAACATTTTAAAACCAAAATATTAAAAAGGAAACATGACAAGTCATTAATGTTCTAACAACACTCCGAAATTGAATCTATCTTGTTGGGCCTATAAATGTAGCCCTGTTATATTATACAATTTCTTCACACTTCTGTGCACATGGGGGACATCCTCAAACTCCGGAATCAGTAGTTACTGGCACAAACTAATTGAGCCAAAAACATATATATAGAAGATAAACTTTGACCTGACCCAACTTGTAACTTAAGAGCCCCCAACACAACCACCGCTCCATTCAATATTCCAACAGTAGAGCTCCAGTGGCCGGTGGAGGCTCTTACATTGTAATCCTAAATGGCATGCAGTGTGCGCAGATCACAGAATATGTGTGATCGAAGATGCATGTGCATGCAGATCTTGCTGGTTCATTATGCACCACTGAAACAATGTATTATAACAAAACATGGTTTACATGTTAGAAACACATACTACACTTAAATGTCCTGTCTATCCCTCAACAAGCCCCACCTAAAGCACACATCAATATCCACAGCCCTTGGGATTCTACAAGTTTCACTATGTACAATAAGATTTTTAGCTCCACATAGTCAAATACCACTAGATGCCAGCGGTCGGAAAAAAAATCAAACAAACCAAACACTGAATACCATGACTATATTGGAAATAATACATATATGGGGACAAAACAAATAGGGAACTGTAAGCACAAGAACAAGAAACCAGATAATATGCGGCAAGTCTAAAGTCTAAAGATTGTGAGAAAGGACATTTTTCTTGCCAGCCAATGGAGGCACAACAAAAAACAAACAAACAGCATCTTAATGCTGGGATCTGCAGAACATAACAAACGCTAAACATGACACCTGGAAAAACACTGTCAACTCTTGCATGTATTTCTTGATGTCATATTGTTCATGGCACATCAGCCTGGGGAATGACAATGTATTAGTAGTATCACTGTTTTATGTATTATGGGCAAAGGCAGTTGATAAGTGGCAAATATAATTAGGGATGCACCGATACTAACATCGGTACCGATACAGAGTATTTGGGCGGGTACTCGTACTCACCCAAATGCTCCGATACCTTCCCTGATGCCGGAATTCCTGAACAGAGGGAGAGTTCCTCTGACCGGCAGTGCCGCAAGGGAACATGGAGCTTGCTTCCTGACCAATCAGGAAGCGGGGAGGCGGATAATGACCTGCCTCTCAGCTTCCCGATTGGCCGGGAAGCCAGCTCCATGCTTGCAGAAGTACCGATATCCGTACTTGGTATCTGCAAGAACGAAAAGATAAATATCGGTATTCGTACACGATATCGACAAACCGCTATCGGTGCATCCCTAAATATAATGAAAAGCAAAAACTATTTTGTTTAATACGTCTATATATAGTTTTGCTCTGTTTTAAGTAGTGTGTTACATGGTACACTATACATACCCCTGCGCAGTGCTAGGGGATTTTTAACTTAAAGGAAAACTATGGCCTTCATCCCCATAGTTAGAGCTGACGTGTGACACTGCAGCTGTCACACCTCAGCTCTATTGATTAGGAACTGCGCGATCACAAACTGCTGATCGTTCAGTTCACAATCTTCTTCCAGCAGAGAGAGGTGGCTGTTTGTCCCTGTAAGGATTCCCTCCTTCCCCTCTCCGATCCTCCAGCACTGACTGAAGGGACAGAAAGAGGAGGGGGCGGGTACAGCAGGCTCTGCCCCTAAAGAGACAATAGCCTGCTATATGTTGTGTTTTTCGTCACAAGAGGACATTAGTAAATATCGTCCGGTGACCCAAAAGAGAACTATAGCAAAAATGGTTTGACCATAGTTCTATAGCAAAAATGGTTTGACCATAGTTCTCCTTTAACTGTTAGCCGTAGACCTAGTAGGTTATACGACCAATAAATGTTCACTGTATTTGTTGCAAAAAAGTACTTTATGCAAAAACTGTACCCTAAGTGTTAAAACATTTATAGAGACACTAACTATTGTCCTCATTCTAAACATATAGAATCTGTGGCATGTCCACCAGTCAGCCAGACATGGCAGATACCACATCTCTGTAAGATGGACAATTTCATACATTGCACCTAGTAACAAATAGCCCCGAACTATTCAGACAGGATTAAGCTCAGTGTCAGAATCTATAAGCATTTAACTAATCCTGTTCAGTAACATCATATATTACCTTTCAGGCTCTTCTCAACAGCTGTAGACTTTTGCAAGAGTTTTGACCATTTTATAGCTCTTCTGGTGAGAACTACCAAGTATCTGGAATTAAAGTCTTCATAAAATGTGTAATCGAATCCTTTAGGCCTTTCAAATCCATAGACATCAATCCTATCAACAAAACAGACAGCAAAATAACACAGTTGCAAACATGCTTTAGTAGTAATTACAGACCACGTTTTAGTAGTAATACCATAAGCAACAGTTGTAGGTGTGGGTCTTCAAATAGGGAGAAATCACTATTTGAACAATTGCAGCCAGAATAACTGCTTTGCTCCTGAACTCATATTCTATATATACACACACACTGACCTGCTATTAGGACATACACTGAGTGGCCAGATTATTATGACCACCCCATCAGTACTTCGTTGGGCCACGACACCATATCCTCAATTATGTACAAACAATCAGCGATCACTGAGTGTTTGTACCTGCTCTCCTCTCTGACACGCTGTCACAGGAGGCTGATTGAGCGGTGTGGGAGGAGAGCCCAGCCTCCTGTGACAGCACTGTCTCCACCCCCACACCGCTTTGCCAGACTGTGATAGGAGGCTGAGTGGTGTGGGAGGAGACGCCGACCGCTCGCAGAGCTCTCCACCGCAGCGCTCGGCCGGCTGTCACTTTCTCTTCTCCCCGCTGGGACATAGAGCAGCGCCCAGCGGGGAGGAAAGAAACTAGGGATGCGCCGATGTATCGGCAGGAAAATGGCACTTTCGGTATTATGCCAAAAGTGCCATTTTCGTCCGATGTGTTTCGGCAGCCGATATATCGGTGCATCCCTAATAATAAGTACATCTAGCAAACCTGGTTTCTATTCCCATAATGCAAGTGATACTTTAGTGCAACAGTTTCCCATTTGTGATTGCAGATCTCCATTTATGTTGTTATGTTGTTCCCATTGATGCTAGGTTCAGACCTGAATGATACCTGGGACACGTGTCCTGTGACTGCTCGACCGTGTACTAGTGCACACAGCGATTGCCGCGCGGCCCCATTGATTTCACTGGGGTTACATCCGCACAGAAATCCCTACAAAAAAGGTACAAGTACCTTTTTTTGCAACACACGATGCGTGGATTTTTTAGCAGCGATCATGTTCAATTGCACAGATGAAATCGCGGCAGGAAACCGTGTGATCCGCCCGGCGTGACGGGTGCCATTAAAAAATAATGTCACCAGCAGCGCGATCGGTGGCGGTGGGCGACTCCGTGACCGCCCGGCAATCCACGCAGTTTTGTGCACGATTGCCCCACGGTCACAGCTTTAAATGTGCCTACAGAAATGAGAGGACAGATATCACAACACTGGCTGTCTTCTTTCTGGGAAAAGTTTCACTGTTTTATATAAATAAAACAGTGAAATAATGGTATGTTAATAAGAGCAGCCCTAAGCACCACTGTTGTTGTTGTTAGGGATTAACAAGCATCAGCTTATGTATCACTGGTCATAGTTCACGCTGATGCTGCTAATGTTCATGCATCAAATGCCAAAAAAAAAAAAGCAGTAGTGGGTGAATTCCACCTATAAAAAAAGCCTAGACTTGCTAAAGTTAATGTTTTCCTCAATGATCCGTGACTAATCATTCTTAAGCCTAGACAACTGAAGGTCTGAAAAAGAAAAAAAAAAAAACAGACTTTACACAGTGGGACAAAGTCTAGGGAATGTGCTCATGGAAAACATTAGGACACATTCAAATCAACCGAGTATTTGGGCAAGTACAAGCCCAAATACTCGGTATCGGCACCGATACCAATACTAGTATCGGTATTGGTGCATCCCTAAAAAGCGTCCAAGATTGGCTAATGACAAAAGTTTTTTTCTATTCTGAAGTGGTCTTCTATGAGCCCTGATCTGAATCCTATCAAACAGCTACAGAAAGACCTAAAACATGAAGTCTAGAGATGGCATCCTTCATACCCGAGACTGCTGGAGCAGGTTACTCAAGAAGAGTGGGCCAAACTACCTGCTGGCTGGTGCAGAAGTCTCATTGAGAGCTACAGACATCACTTTTTGTTAAGTGCTAAAGGTTGTGCGACAAAAGAAATTAGGTAAAGTAGTACTAAAGGCTAGGCGTTTTTTTACCTTAATGCATTCTCTGAAGTGGTGACAAAAAATTAGGCTAAAGTAGTACTAAAGGCTAGGCATTTTTTACCTTAATGCATTCTTGGCAGTGGTGACACAAATCTGGGCTAAAATAGTACTAAAGGCTAGGCATTTTTTACCTTAATGCATTCCCTTGCAGTGGTGCACTGCAAGGGTTCAGATTTAATGTGCCTGAAGTTCTTCTTTATTATCACTTTAAGGGTCCCATCGTTATTTGTCTATTAAAAATATTCTGCTGAATTAAAGTTTTTATTCATCATGGAATAAACAATAATAAGATGCCAATAGCTTTTGTCAATTTAAAATAATTTCAGGTTATCAGCACTTATTATACAGATACAGCTAAACACTTTCCATCTCATGTTTAATATACCAAAAGGGGAAAAAATGAGAAAAGTTGACGTTTAGTGTTTCCATACACTTTAACTTCTTGGGGAAATGCAGGTGAAAAGACACAAGTCTGTCTGTGTAGTGAACTAGTAACACCCGTCTACATTTCCCACCAATGTTTTCTGTACATATGTAGACTGTGCAGGCGTGTAGACCAGAAGCTGTACTCTGAACACTCCTACACGACAGGTACGTATCACCTTCTGCAATGACAGTCACAAAAAGGTGTGGTAAGGCTGAGTAGGAACCAGGAAATACATTTCTTTATTCCCAATACACCTGTTTATGATGTGGTCAGACTACCTCCCCACAATCGTTCAGCTACTGTCGTCACAAGGAACTAAATTCATAAAATACTGCCATAAAAATAAATGTTAGTTTCGACGCCAACATAAAAAAGGAAGAAAATCAACACAGAAAGCTCATGCAGAGAGAGAGAACAAAGAGGCTTTTCAGGCTCATTACAGACAAACTGAAAATATTGTGTACAAAAGATCAAAATGTATTAGGAAACGCACACCAGCATCTCCAACTACATCTATCTGCCGGGAAAGTAAAAATATTACCTGGGTATTCTGTCCTTAGCAGTCTCATCCTTGGTTTCCATTGGTGCCCGATTTATTATGGAAAGGCATACAGCAGATACCTACAGAATACAATAACACCTTTGTATTATTTTAATGAGAACAGCATAACAGGCGTGTTTTAATCATAGGGTAGGCTTTGATTTTATATGGAACAATTTTTTTATCCAGCAGATTTGCAATATAAAAAAAACCTATTACAGCAAAACCAAGTCACCCCAAATTCTGAGATGTCCCCTGCTTTTTCACCTCCGGCTCTGTAAATCTCCAGGGATGGCACCCCTTGGGATCTTTATGTCACAGCCCCATAGACTATGTAGGCACAATGCACTAGGGCTGCCTTTGTCGCTTAGCAATTTTCAGACATAAAACTGCCTTTATTAATGAGAATCAGCTAGGTCACATACTAAATGCAACATGTTTTGAACCTGCAAAGGGTCCCTTCATCAAGCAAGGGGTCACTTTGCCCAATGAAGGGGTCCATTGCAGGTTCTGGCAATATATCCTCTACTGTTCATGGTGGTGCCATCCACTCATAGTTGCAGCAGTCTATCTCAGTGGGCCTTTGCAGTCCGCTTCAGTGCGTGATAAGGATTGGCAGAATTCATGGCACAGAATTCTAACAGTGTCCCCCACTGTGGTAATCATTTACTTTTCCTTCTAAAGGTCATGTCAGGTGAGCAATTTATCTGCAGCGATCACCACATATACTGTATATTAAAGCGTTGCACCAAAATTTCGGCTGCCGAAAATGGTACAACGGGCAAAATGCTGATTGTTACAAAACAGCCGACAATGCAGTGCATCCCTAGCTTCCCTCCTCCCCGCTATTTTAAATTGACAAAAGCAATTGGCATCTTATTATTGTTTATTCCATGATGAATAAAAACTTTAATTCAGTAGAATATTTTTAATAGACAAATAACAACGATGGGACCCTTAAAGTGATAATAAAGAAGAACTTCAGGCACATTAAATCTGAACCCTTGCAGTGCACCACTGCAAGGGAATGCATTAAGGTAAAAAATGCCTAGCCTTTAGTACTATTTTAGCCTAATTTTTTGTCACCACTGCTGAGAATGCATTAAGGTAAAAAATGCCTAGCCTTTAGTCTGTGTCTGTGTCTGTGTCTCCTCTGACCCCGCTGCTCTCCCCCACCTGTGTGGGCAGAGGGAGCAAAGGGAGGGAATACATAGCCAATCGGGGAAGCTGTCAGGAGGCCAAATGGGGCGGTGCAGGGAGGAGACAGCTGTCAGGAGGCCGAGCTGTGTGGTGCTGGAGGAGAGCTCAGCCTCCTGTGACAGATGGAGCAGTCAACATGGAGAGCGGAGTACAAACACTCAGCGATTTTGGATATACTGTAACTGTGGACATAGTATGCTTACCGTGTCCCCAATTATGAATGAACAGGAAGTGCTTTATATCACTTCCTGTTAATCCATTATTGTGGACAAAGTAACTGATACTATCTTCTCAGTATATGAATGGAAAGAAGCACTCAGTACAGAGGCTTCGTGTTCATTTATAACAGAGGCTGCAGAAAAAGAGATTTAGGATTGTCTCATTAATCTATTTTTTCCATTTTAAAAAGGAAATATCAGAGCCCGTTTAGGCCCCTGATATTTTCCCAAAGCCCCTAACAGTAAAGTAACAAAACAAAAAAAAACAATACTTAAAAAAATAATGTAAAAAATGTTTTAGAAGGTTTGTAAAAAAAAAAGTAATTTTAAAATGTTTGGTCTGACAAATGTTTTCATTTTGATTTTCTATGGAATTGCTAAGTCACTTATTTTAAAGTGATTTGTAGCTCACGTGCTCAGTGATTGCGTTCGTACAGCATTTCATGATGGCAACAACCTCGACAATTGCTCTGTATTAATCTTTATGGCTGCAGGAGAGCGATTTGTAGCAGAGCACACATACCTAACAACATATCACTGGTCTGACCTATAGCAGCGACAAATCATCGGCAAATAAAACACTAGCCACAAAGAGCTGCCATTAGTGATCTGCAGCATTGATTAATAACTGCTTCAATATCGCTCCTCTGACAAAGAACTACAATGTAATGATATTGTTTCCATAATCATAAAATAGACATTGCATAGTATTGCTCCTGGTTGACTGGGTGTCATTGTTAGTATCTGGAGGTATGAGCTATGCATAGTAGGACTTCTCTATGAGGATTCCTTAAAGTTCAGGTACAGTATAGTAGGTATGAACTATGCATAGTAGGACTTCTCTAGGAGTTTATTAAAGCTCAGGTATAGTATAGTAGGTATGAACTATGCATAGTAGGACTTCTCTAGGAGTTTATTAAAGTTCAGGTACAGTATAGTAGGTATGAACCATGCATAGTAGGACGTCCTTCTCTATGAGTTTTCTTTAAAGCTCAGGTACAGTATAGTAGGTATGAATATGCATAGTAGGACTTCTCTATAACTTTATTAAAGCTCAGGTACAGTATAGTAGGTATGAACCATGCATAGTAGGACTTCGCTATGACTTTATTAAAGCTCAGGTACAGTATAGTAGGTATGAACTATGCATAGTAGTAATTCTCTAGGAGGAGTTTATTAAAGCTCGGGTACAGTATAGTAGGTATGAACTATGCATAGTAGGACGTCTCTATGACTTTATTAAAGCTCAGGTACAGTATAGTAGGTATGAACCATGCATAGTAGGACTTCTCTATGAATTTTGCTTAAAGCTTGGGTACTGTATAGTAGGTATGAACTATGCATAGTAGGACTTCTCTATGAGTTTATTCAAGTTCAGGTACAGTATAGTAGGTATGAACTATGCATAGTAGGACTTCTCTATGAGTTCTTTAAAGCTCAGGTACAGTATAGTAGGTATGAACCATGCATACTAGTACTTCTCTACGAGTTTTCCTTAAAGCTCACGTACAGTGTAGTAGGTATGAACCATGCATAGTAAGACTTCTCTATGAGTTTGTATTAAAGTGCAGGTACAGTATAGTTGGTATGAACCATGCATAGTAGGACTTCTCTATGAGTTTGTATTAAAGTGCAGGTACAGTATAGTTGGTATGAACCATGCATAGTAGGACTTCTCTATGAGTTTTCTTTAAAACTCAGGTACAGTATAGTAGGTATGAACTATGCATAGTAGGACTTCTCTATGACTTTATTAAAGCTCAGGTACAGTATAGTAGGTATGAACTATGCATAGTAGGACTTCTCTAGGAAGTTATTAAAGCTCAGGTACAGTATAGTAGGTATGAACCATGCATAGTAGGACTTCTCTAGGAGTTTGTATTAAAGCTCAGGTACAGTATAGTAGGTATGAACCATGCATAGTAGGACTTCTCTAGGAGTTTGTATTAAAGCTCAGGTACAGTATAGTAGGTATGCACTATGCATAGTAGGACTTCTCTATGAGTTTGTATTAAAGCTCAGGTACAGTATAGTAGTTATGAACTATGCATAGTAGGACTTCTCTATGAGTTTTCTTTAAAGCTCAGGTACAGTATAGTAGGTATGAACCATGCATAGTAGGACGTCTCTATGAGTTTATTAAAGCTCAGGTACAGTATAGTAGGTATGAACTATGCATAGTAGGACTTCTCTGTGACTTTATTAAAGTTCAGGTACAGTATAGTAGGTATGCACTATGCATAGTAGGACTTCTCTATGAGTTTATTAAAGTTCAGGTACAGTATTAAAGCTCAGGTACAGTATAGTAGGTATGAACCATGCATAGTCGGACTTCTCTATGACTTGATTAAAGCTCAGGTACAGTATAGTAGGTATGCACTATGCATAGTAGGACTTCTCTATGAGTTTGTATTAAAGCTCAGGTACAGTATAGTAGGTATGAACCATGCATAGTAGGACTTCTCTATGACTTTATTAAAGCTCAGGTACAGTATAGTAGGTATGAACTATGCATAGTAGGACTTCTCTATGAGTTTATTAAAGCTCAGGTACAGTATAGTAGGTATGAACCATGCATAGTCGGACTTCTCTATGACTTTATTAAAGCTCAGGTACAGTATAGTAGGTATGAACTATGCATAGTAGGACTTCTCTATGAGTTTATTAAAGCTCAGGTACAGTATAGTAGGTATGAACCATGCATAGTAGGACTTCTCTATGACTTTATTAAAGCTCAGGTACAGTATAGTAGGTATGAACTATGCATAGTAGGACTTCTCTATGAGTTTATTAAAGCTCAGGTACAGTATAGTAGGTATGAACCATGCATAGTAGGACTTCTCTATGACTTTATTAAAGCTCAGGTACAGTATAGTAGGTATGAACTATGCATAGTAGGACTTCTCTATGAGTTTATTAAAGCTCAGGTACAGTATAGTAGGTATGAACCATGCATAGTAGGACTTCTCTATGACTTTATTAAAGCTCAGGTACAGTATAGTAGGTATGAACTATGCATAGTAGGACTTCTCTATGAGTTTATTAAAGCTCAGGTACAGTATAGTAGGTATGAACCATGCATAGTAGGACTTCTCTATGACTTTATTAAAGCTCAGGTACAGTATAGTAGGTATGAACTATGCATAGTAGGACTTCTCTATGAGTTTATTAAAGCTCAGGTACAGTATAGTAGGTATGAACCATGCATAGTAGGACTTCTCTATGACTTTATTAAAGCTCAGGTACAGTATAGTAGGTATGAACTATGCATAGTAGGACTTCTCTATGAGTTTATTAAAGCTCAGGTACAGTATAGTAGGTATGAACCATGCATAGTAGGACTTCTCTATGACTTTATTAAAGCTCAGGTACAGTATAGTAGGTATGAACTATGCATAGTAGGACTTCTCTATGAGTTTATTAAAGCTCAGGTACAGTATAGTAGGTATGAACCATGCATAGTAGGACTTCTCTATGACTTTATTAAAGCTCAGGTACAGTATAGTAGGTATGAACTATGCATAGTAGGACTTCTCTATGAGTTTATTAAAGCTCAGGTACAGTATAGTAGGTATGAACCATGCATAGTAGGACTTCTCTATGACTTTATTAAAGCTCAGGTACAGTATAGTAGGTATGAACTATGCATAGTAGGACTTCTCTATGAGTTTATTAAAGCTCAGGTACAGTATAGTAGGTATGAACCATGCATAGTAGGACTTCTCTATGACTTTATTAAAGCTCAGGTACAGTATAGTAGGTATGAACTATGCATAGTAGGACTTCTCTATGAGTTTATTAAAGCTCAGGTACAGTATAGTAGGTATGAACCATGCATAGTAGGACTTCTCTATGACTTTATTAAAGCTCAGGTACAGTATAGTAGGTATGAACTATGCATAGTAGGACTTCTCTATGAGTTTATTAAAGCTCAGGTACAGTATAGTAGGTATGAACCATGCATAGTAGGACTTCTCTATGACTTTATTAAAGCTCAGGTACAGTATAGTAGGTATGAACTATGCATAGTAGGACTTCTCTATGAGTTTATTAAAGCTCAGGTACAGTATAGTAGGTATGAACCATGCATAGTAGGACTTCTCTATGACTTTATTAAAGCTCAGGTACAGTATAGTAGGTATGAACTATGCATAGTAGGACTTCTCTATGAGTTTATTAAAGCTCAGGTACAGTATAGTAGGTATGAACCATGCATAGTAGGACTTCTCTATGACTTTATTAAAGCTCAGGTACAGTATAGTAGGTATGAACTATGCATAGTAGGACTTCTCTATGAGTTTATTAAAGCTCAGGTACAGTATAGTAGGTATGAACCATGCATAGTAGGACTTCTCTATGACTTTATTAAAGCTCAGGTACAGTATAGTAGGTATGAACTATGCATAGTAGGACTTCTCTATGAGTTTATTAAAGCTCAGGTACAGTATAGTAGGTATGAACCATGCATAGTAGGACTTCTCTATGACTTTATTAAAGCTCAGGTACAGTATAGTAGGTATGAACTATGCATAGTAGGACTTCTCTATGAGTTTATTAAAGCTCAGGTACAGTATAGTAGGTATGAACCATGCATAGTAGGACTTCTCTATGACTTTATTAAAGCTCAGGTACAGTATAGTAGGTATGAACTATGCATAGTAGGACTTCTCTATGAGTTTATTAAAGCTCAGGTACAGTATAGTAGGTATGAACCATGCATAGTAGGACTTCTCTATGACTTTATTAAAGCTCAGGTACAGTATAGTAGGTATGAACTATGCATAGTAGGACTTCTCTATGAGTTTATTAAAGCTCAGGTACAGTATAGTAGGTATGAACCATGCATAGTAGGACTTCTCTATGACTTTATTAAAGCTCAGGTACAGTATAGTAGGTATGAACCATGCATAGTAGGACGTCTCTATGAGTTTATTAAAGCTCAGGTACAGTATAGTAGGTATGAACTATGCATAGTAGGACTTCTCTGTGACTTTATTAAAGTTCAGGTACAGTATAGTAGGTATGCACTATGCATAGTAGGACTTCTCTATGAGTTTATTAAAGCTCAGGTACAGTATAGTAGGTATGAATATGCATAGTAGGACTTCTCTAGTAGTTTGCCCTAAATCTCAGTCCACACCGCTGCATCGTGGCATTGTGCGTGTTACTGCAACACGTAAAAACGTGTGCTCTTTGGGTTGGGACACCGCAGTGCCATTCTTTCTTAATGGCATCCACCGCACCTTGCATGCACAGTAACACACGACCATGCGTTGTGGTGCACCATGTTACACAAAAAAATATGAAAATGCATTGACGTTTTTTGTGTGCGATCTAGTGCAGTAGGCAACTACTAAAAGGAATGGGCTGACACAATGCAGTGCTTGTTAACTCTCAGCAGAATATGCATCAACACACATGCATTACAACAATACAACAGCATCAATGTAGCCTGAAAGGGGCCAATTTCCATTCCAATGCATCTAGTCCTCCCGCAGCACTTGAAGAGTGCACTTCTTCCTTACACTAAAGACTCATCTCTCAGTTTGAATAAGAAAAGAAGAAATGATGTGTGTAGATAAGATTGCACAATAACAAGGACCGGCGACATGTACAGAGGTTTCAGGTCAAAACTGCTATTACACATCAGATTTAAACCGATCTCACACACAACTTACAATCTGATTGGACAATCTTCTTTCGTTCTACCAACAACTCTGTAGCACAAGGGCCTGCCTGATTGTATACACATTCATCGTTTAGGTCTGCCCTTATATTACATAGTTGATTGGATGGTCAGATTGTATTGTGTATGAGGACAATCATCATCAAATGGGTGGTGAAACGTGCAGGTTGTCCCGATCTCTCCCAGCACACACGGCTAGGAGTCAGATGATGAGCCATTCCCCACGCCCAGGATCATGAAGTGGCTTCTCAAGTAGCCGAGCAGCTTCTGCACCTGTCTACACACAATGACCTCCGCCCGATCACACAACTTTCCAGCCGCAGCCCCGCTTCTTACCCCCAGCAGAAACTCACCTGTAGAGCGGGCCAGACGTCGTGTTAGCGCTCAGCCCTCCACCAGTGAACCCTTCTGGCCATTTCACCCCCCACAGCACCGCACTCTCTACCCTGCCGCTGCTACACACTCCACGGTACACACAGAGCGCTGTCAATCATTCGTATAGGGGCGGGGCTGCCTGTGGAGACAGGAATGGGAAAAGGGGCGTGTCCCTCGGGCTGAGTGGGCGGGGAGAAGCTATTATAAGCCGAGACTCAGGAGTGATTGATGGTTGTCACAGGGGGGAGATTACTGAGGATTTGTTTCACGGAAATCTCTTTCATAAAGTCTTGGGGTATTATGTGTGGGGAAAAGAGGAGCCGGGTGCTTGTTGTATCTACCTGAGCCATATGAAAATGCAGTATTAATATATAACAAAGGAAATCAACACCGCTTGTTTCTGTTATTATGTAATGATGTTCTCGTTGTGTTATACTGTACACATTGCCAAACCTTTCTTCTCTCTAGTTTTCTGTTTATTTTTAGTTATAGTTTTTTCTGTTTTGGAAAGAATAGGGAGGGGTTAAAATCCTAGTCAATGTGCTTTCCTTCCTTCCTTCCTTCCTTCCATCCGTTCCACAGTTGGTTTATTTTGTACTTTATATGTTTTACTTTTTATTTTTGGATTGTGGGCAGAATAGGGAAGGGTGAGAGCCATACTCCGTTTATTTTATTTATATTCCCTATAATGAGGCAGCCTGGGGCGGTTGCCTCAGGCGGTACCTCTGTTCTATCAAAGTTTGTGACTACGTTAGAATGTGTGACCGGTGACATGGTCACACATTTTAACGTAATCCCACCCAGTTTTTCGGCAGTGGAATGTGTGACCGGCAATAGGTGAAGCATTCCAACATTGTGAGTGCGATCTTACATTCCACAAAGTCAGATAGAAGTGACATTTCAGGAATGATCAGCTGTTCCAGGGCAGGTCGGTTCTCCTGCACATGCGATGCCGATCTGTCCTGGAACAGCTTACAAAGCGTTGGAATTCTTCACCTTTTGGAGGCCACATATTCCACCACTGAAAAACTGGGCGTGATTACGTTAAAATGTGTGACCACGTGCTGGCCTTAAATGGCCAGCACGTTTAAGCTGTTAAAAATATAATGGATTCCCCCTAAAAATGATTAAAGAATGTTATTCGCCATGGAGCCTGGACGCGCAGAAAATGGGGAAGGGGGAGTCTTCCCCCCCGGACCATACCAGGCCACAAGCACTCAGCATTGGAAGGGTACCTTGCAGCTAAGCCCTCTCCCTTGCAAGGCACTTTGTCCCCATCTTGATGGGGACATGGACCCCATCCCTACATCCTGTGCCCCAAAAAGAATGTGGGAGGGTGGGGGGGCTTTGTCAGAATCTGGAAGCTCCCTCTAGAAGAAGGAGCCCCAAAATATCTGGCCATCCTATGTGAATAAGTACCAAGCACATAGTACCCTTTGTTAGTCATTTACAAAGAACATAATAAATAGTAAATAAAAACACTGACACTGTTGAAAACGACACCTATTAAAAAAATAAATACATAAATATATACTAAATGTCCCCCTGACATAAATCCAACGTCAATCACATCTTCCAGTGATATCCCCAGATATCCAGCCCCCTGCATGAATGAATACAGGGTACATAGTACCACTTGTTACTCATCCACATTTGAAAAAACAAATAAATACACTCACACCATTGAGAAAGTCCTTTATTAAAAAAAAAAAAAACATCCCTCAATGTAAATCCAACATCAATCACGTCATCCAGCAATGTAGATCCATGTCATCCATGATGGGCACCGTCTAAAAATGTTGACCCACTGCCATAATGACCTTCCGTGCCCAACGATCTTCATCTGCAGCTACTTCCATCACAACTGACAGACCCCTGATGGCTTTAAACAAGCAAACCGGTGGGGATCCTGGATGATGTCATTGACCAAATATGGTCATGGCCATATTTGTTTAATGATGTCACCAAGGATCCACACCTGCTTGTTTAAAAAGAAGCTGCTGGGACCTGCCATGTCATCTAATGTTGGTAGTGCTCCACATCACCCGTAGGTTCAGGTGGGTGAACGAGTTTGCTCGTCTGTTCTCCGAACTGTAAAAAGGCTGGGTTCAGGTCAAACTCACTAACATCCCTAATTATCATGCGATTAAATCCTTAGTGGTATTTTAATAGCTCATTTATCTGAATAAATCAAGTCTATATTGGGCAGCACAGTGGTGTAGTGCTTAGCGCTTCTGCCATGCAGCACTGAGGGTCCCTGGTTTGAATCCCGGCCAGGTCACTATCTGCAAAGAGTCTGCATGTTCTCCCTGTGTTTGTGTGGATTTCCTCCAGGTACTCGGGTTTGCTCCCACACTTCAAAGACATGCTGGTAGGTTAATTGTCTCCTGTCTAAATTGGCCCTCGTGTGTATGCATGTGAGATAGGGACCTTTAGATTGTAAGCTCCTTTAGGGTAGGGACCGATGTAAATTGTCGGCGCTATATAAATACCTGTAATAAATAAATATTCAGATAAACCCTCACAGTACCCAGCTATCGTTATATTTTGATGAACCATTGGTTTGTATGGCTAACCTTGCTGTTACTAAAGGCGAGTGACTATTTTCCAATCATGGAAACAATAGTTTAGAGGAAGTAGAATGGCACTGTAGTGGATGAATACAAGCCCTAGTTTCATTATTAATCTCTGGTTTTCTCTGTATACCCTTGACAACAAAGTGTAAAAGTATCAAATGCCAGCTATTATTTTATATATAGTGCTAACATTTCGTAAAGGAACATTTTCAAACTACTGTGAATAAAAAAGAAGTGCTGAAAGCTCAATGAATGAACGTGGAACAAAGCGGACATGTGAGAAATAGATACTACTGTGTGTTTCAAGGCAAAACATCAAATGGAAAAGAGTCACATTACATGCTGTTTTACACACGCAAAACCTATAAAATATATAAAAAACACATTTAATCAGTTTAAGTGGATTGACATATAACATTTGCTTTGCTTTCTTGTGTAATACATTAAATGAAAGCTGCAGGTCCAGTCGGCATTGATAATCTGTCCTTTTCAGTGGCTCCCTTCAATGGGGTGTTTTCTATAGATTACATTTATTTAGATTAATAAAATTGTGAATTAATCATACACAAGAAAATCTATGAAAAGCTTAATGGAAACCATTTTTACCTATATATGATGCCACATTCCCTTAGTGTTTACACATTTTCCTATGCAGTGTGTATGTATTGTAGCCTAGTGACATGTGGATCTATTCTTCAGCTCCCTAAGATAAGTGATCCTTTCAATAAAATGAACTAGTTCTTTAAACCCTTTTTCCTACTTAGTATAACAGTAAATAAGAGCAACAGTGCAATGGTGACACGGTCTTCCTATAATGCTATATGCCACATCAGTATAAATATAGCATTGTGGCTGAATCATTCATCGAGGTCAGTGTGTTCAGACAGGGGCTCCTAGTTCTAAACCCTGCAGAGCCCACCACAGACCCCGCACAACCCACCATAGATTCTGCACAGCCCACCTGAGACCCTGCAGAGCCCACCACAGACCCAGTACAACCCACCATAGATCCTGCACAGCCCACCTAAGACCCTGCAAAGCCCACCACAGACCCCACACAGCCCACCATAGATTCTGCACAGCCCACCTGAGACACTGCAGAGCCCACCACAGACCCAGTACAACCCACCATAGATCCTGCACAGCCCACCTAAGACCCTGCAAAGCCCACCACAGATCCCGCACAGCCCACCATAGATTCTGCGCAGCCCACCTGGGACTGAGAGGTAGGCTGTGCAGGATCTATGGTGGGCTCTGCAGGGTCTCAGGTGGACTGGACAGGGTCCCTTTCCCTGCACACATGTGCTGCTCCTCTTAGCTGCAGCTCCCCAGCCTGCCTTGGGGACATCTCATTATCAGATCACATGATATGGCCAGCCCCAAGCTCCGAGCTTACCCACTGCTTCTCCTCCACCTTCGCCGGGCGGACCGCATGTCACTGGGCCCTGGCCTGCCTCCTCCACTGGGCAGCTCTCTAATTTGCCTGATTAGGTAGCTGAGGCTGCCTGATTATGTCTGGCCCTGCTCACCTCACTGGTTTAGGGGTTGGCGTTTTTTGCCACCCCCCGGAATGTGCCGCCCAAGGCAGATGCTTTATTTGCCTTGCGGTATATACGCCCCTGCTTCTAGCCAGGGGTTTGATAAATAAGCCACTTTATGAAACAGTTTGCATGGCTGGTTTCAGTTAAATGCTGGTGAAGTGCTTTATTGCAACTCTACTCAACACTATTGCACAAACTGTTTCCATATTTATGCAGTATTACATGTATATGGTACTGTAGCTGGCGACATGCAGAGCTTCCTGGTTTTTAGAAAGGACCAGAATGTTAAATGTATTTCTCATCTATGAATATTCCTTTGGCAAACACCAAGTCAGGTGTTGAATTCAGCCAATAATCAGATAAAATATATGCCTATACAAAACATTTTCTGTTTTGGATAGAGTAAGGAAGGGTTAAAACCAGTCAGTTTTTGTCCCCCCCCCCCCATCTTTTTCATTAAGGACCATCATATGCCGAGCACTCCATGTTAAAGATTTTGGGGCACTAGTGGGGCACTAGTGCAGGAAGGATTATTGATCCTGAAACAGGTTCTAACCATTCTGTACTCTATCCAAAATGACATGAGATCTACCAACAAAAAACCCCTCCCTCGCTCTCTCTCTCTCCTGGCTGTCTCTTCTCACTCTCCTGGCTGTCTCTCCTCACTCTCCTGACTGTCTCTCCTCGCTCTCCTCACTCTCCTGGCTGTTTCTCCTCACTCTCCTGGCTGTCTCACCTCACTCTCATGGCTGTCTCTCCTCACTCTCCTGGCTGTCTCTCCTTGCTCTCTCCCATGGCTGTCTCTCCTTGCTCATCCTCTTGGCTATCTCTCCTCTCTCTCCTGTCTGTCTCTCCTCTCTCACCTGGCTGTCTCTCCTCTCTCTCCTGGCTGTCTCTCCTCGCTCTCCTCACTCTTCTGGCTGTCTCTCCTCACTCTCCTTGCTGTCTCACCTCACTCTC